TTCTGCCCATTTTTTAATTGGATTGTTTGTCTTTTTGTTATTGAGGTGTTGGCGTGTTCTATAAATTCTAGAGATAAGTCCCTTGTCAGATATCATCATTATTTTTTAATGTTGCAAAGTAGTCCATTGTGTGTATGTACCATAGTATGGTTATCCTTTTATCTGTTGATAGGCCTTAGGGTGTTTCCATCTCTTTGCTATTGTAAATAGTATTGCACTGAACATGGTTGTGCATACATTTGTTCATGTCTAGGATCTCACTTCTTGAGTTTATATTACTAGTAATGGGATTGCTGGATCAAATGGTATTTCTATTTCCAACTTTTTAAAGGTATCATACCATTTTTCATAGTGGTTATACCATTTTACAGTGCCAGCAGCAGTGCAGGAGAGTTCCAGTCTCTGCATATTCTCTCTACCATTTGTTGTTTTTTTCTCCTGTTGAAAATTTCTATTATTACCAGAGTAAGATGATAGCTCATTCTTGTTTTGATTTGCATCTCTCTAATGGCTATTAATCACAAGTATATCTTCATGTTTATTTTTTGGCTGTCTGAATATCTTCTTAGGTGGAGTGTCTGTTCATGTCTTTGCCCAGTTTTGAATTAGATTATTAGTCTTTTTGATGCTGAGATGTTGAAGTTTTCTATAAATTTTAGAGACGAGGCCCTTGTTGGCTATGTCATTGCCAAATTTTTTTTTTTTTTTTTTTTTTTTCCTAATCTGTAGGTTCTCCTTTCACTCTTTTGGAGAAGTCTTTTGATGCACGTAAAAATTTAATTTTTAGAAGGTCCCAATCATCTAGTTTGTCTTCCACTGTTTGTTCATTTTAAGTTATGCTTGATAGTCTATTAATGTCATAAATTTGGGCCCCTACATTTGCCCCTATTTTACGTTTGAAGGACTTTACAATTTTGGGTTTTACTTGATCCACCTTGAACTCATTTTTGTCAGTGGTGTGAGGTATGGCTCTTGTTTCATTTTTCTGCAAATGAATATTCAGTTTTCTGGACACCATTTTCTGAAAAGACTATCTTTTCCCCATTGAATGCGTTTCAGCCCTTTTTCAAACATCAGCTCTCCATAGGTAGTTTTATCTATTTCTGGACTCTTGATTCTGTTCCACTGGACTATGTGTCTATTGTTGTAACAACACCAGGCTGTTTTGACAAATGTGACTGTATAGTACGTTTTGAGTTCAGAGTGCGAGACCTCCTACTTTGTTTTTCTTCTTCAGCAGTGCATTGCTTATCCATGCTCTCTTTCCTTTCCATATAAAATTAGTGATTGGTTTTTCCACATCCTTAAAAAAATTGATGGAATTTATATTGGGATTACATTGAATCTATAAATTGGTTTGGATAGTATTGATATTTTCACAATGTTCAGTCTTCCTATCCATGAACTTGGCATATTCTTCCATTTATGTAAGTCTCTTAACATTTTCTGTAGTAGTGTTTTGTAGTTTTCTTTGTATAGGTCTTTTGTGTCCCTGGCAAGATTTATTCCTGAGTATTTTATCTTCTTGGTACTATTGTAAATGATATTGTTTTCCTTATTTCCTTTTCAGAGATCTCTTTGTGGTGTGGAGGAATCCAACTGACTTTTGTATGTTGAACTTGTGTCTTGCCACTTTGCTGAGCCTTTCAATTAGTTCCAAGAATTTTATTGTTGAGTTTCTTGGGTTTTCTATGTATAGGATCATGTCAACTGCAAATAGAGATAGTTAGACTTCTTCTTTGCCAATTTGGATGTCTTCTATTTCTCTTTTTTTGCTTTATTGCACTGGCTAGGACTTCCAATACAACGTTGAATAGAAGTGATGATAGAGATCATCCTTGCCGAGTTCCCACTCACAAGGGGACTGATTCGAGTCTTCCTACATTGAGAATAATATTGGCTATTGGTTTTGTATATATGCCCTTTATTATGTTGAGGAATTTCTATTCCTATTTTGTTGAGAGTTTTTATGAGGAATAGGGGCTGGATTTTATCAAATGTCTTTTTTTTTCATCAATTGATATGATCATGTAGTTCTTTTCCTTTGTTTTATTAATGTGATGGATTACGTTAATTGTTTTTCTAACAATAAACCATCCTTGCATACTTGGTATGAATCTCACTTACAGTGTATCATTTTTTTGATATAGTGTTGGGTTCTATTGGCTAACATTTTGTTGAAGAATTTTACATCTATATTCATAAGGGATATTGGTCTGTAGTTTTCCTTTTTAGTGATGTCTTTGCCTAGTTTTGGTATCATAGTTATGCATGCTTCATAGAATGAATTTGGGACTATGCCATCCTTTTCTATACTCTAGAACAGCTTGATTAGGATAAGTGTCACCTCTTCTCTGAAAGTTTGATAGAATTCTCCAGTGAAACCATCTGGGCCAGTGCTAAAAGAAGATGGAGGTGGCATCTTCTGACCTCATCTAACTGAACAAGAGGAAGACAGAATCACTATCAGCAGTCCAAAGTTTATTCCTATAAGGCCAGACATGGTGCCACCCTCCAGCATTTTTACTAACTTTGACACCAATTGCCCCTCTCTTGATACTCAGCACTTCTCTGCTAGGTTTGATAGTTCACCAGAACTCACAGATATTACTCACTATTATGGGAGCTCTGGTAGCATAGTGGCTAAGGCTGGTGGTTCAAACCCACCAGCCACTCCTTGGAAGGAAGATGGGGCAATATACTTCTGTAGTGATACTGCCTCAGAAACCCAAGGAGGGGTCGCTATGAATCAGGTCTTACTTGATGGCACATAACAACAACAGCATTATGGGGTTTATTAAGGAAGTAACAATTCAGGTTCAGGAATAGGATAAGGATTAAGTTCTTCTATCAGGACAGTCTCCCGTTTGCTGTGCCCTTGGCCTCTTGGCCTGCCCACTGACTCTGTGGGCCAAGTAATCTCGCTGCTATGTGTCATTTCTCTTGGTTCCACTGTCATTGTCTCTCAGCCAGGGCATGTCTCTGCTAGGATGTCTCTCTGCTAGGGCATCTCTTAGCCAAGGAGGTCTAGTGTAGGGATCTCAGGTTCAAGGATGCACTCCATTTCACCTCCAGTTCTCTCTTGATGCCAGTGAAATCCCCTTTCTGTCTCTAGGAGGGCTTGTTTTAAACTTGGCAGGGTGACAAAACTAACCAATCAAATATCAGAGTTCTACACACACCTTATTTTCATGGTCCCACCCAGTAATCTGGTGGGAGTTATGAAGACTATGGCTGGAAAAGCCATAACAAGTAATTCACTGCACTTTTTTGGGGGGTGGGGGGGTGGGAAGTTTTTTAATGACCTGTTCAATTTCTTTCTTTGTTATGGATCTGTTCAAGTTTTCTACCTCAATCTGCTAGTTTAGGTAGGTTTGGTGCTTCAAGAAATTTGTCCATTTCTTCTAGGTTTTTGAATTTTTTGGAGTACAGTTCTTTGCAGTATTCTGTAATTATCCTTTTCTTTTGATTAGTTCTGTTGTGCTGTTGCTCATTTCATGTATTATTTGCATTATTTGCATCTTCTCTTTCTTTTGCTTAGTTAAATTTACTAGTGGTTTATTGATTTTCTTAATCTTTTTTGAAGAACCAGCTTCTAGTCATGTTGATTTTCTCTATGTTTGTTTCTTGGTGTGGAAGCCCTAGGGTATGAATATACCTAGCATAACAAAGACCAACAAAGGGAATGATTTTTCCTGATGCGTTAATAAGGAAGGAGATACACTATACTCTTGGCTCACTACGCTAAAAGAATAGAAATAGACTTTAAAATCACTTTATTATTAGCTATTATTATAGCTTCAGTGGGCCAGGAACAAGAGGCAGAGCTAAAGCCCAAGTTTGATGGATTTTCACACAGCCCTAGAAGCCTGGCACATTGAACTCAGACTTAGAGCCTCCAAACTGTAAGAGAATAAACTCCTGTTTGTTCAAGCATCCCATTTGTGGTATACTCTTGTCAGAGCAGTACTAAGTACAGGGACCAACTGTCAGATAATTCCTTATGTTATTACATAGGTAGTTAATGATGAAGCATAACAGCCATATATCTCCTGTCTTGCCATTCCGTCTTATGTCTGTGCACACATTCAGCCTCTGTTTTTTTTCCTCAGACTTTGGTGATCATATTCTTTAGTGGGTGACAGGAAATAGAGGATGGATTGGATGAAGAAGTAGTGATTTAGAAGAGAATAGGTGTAAATATCTGGGGAATTGTATCAGAATAGCAGTGAAAAATAACAAGAAAACTTCATGTATACAATAAAAGAAGCGATAGCAAAAGAGGAGGGGAATGAAAGCAGAGGCAAATCTTTACTGTGGGAAATGTTCAAGAATTATTGAAACAATATTTTTTGAACACATGCTCAAATTCTCTCTGGGAGAAATGATGTAAGGATGATCTTAATCCATGGCCCTGTGTCAGGCAGATAGAGAGAAAATTAGGTCCCTGCTGGAAGCCTAAGCAACTATCCTTCACATCGTCTATGTCATTGGTTTGTATATGGAATATGTATTGAAAATACTAAAATGGAATAACATTGCACATTAACTCATTAAGACATTCTATTACAGAGTTATTAACAAAATAGAAAAAATAATTAAACTTATTTTTATTGTATCCCTTAGGAACATTTGGTTTAAGGAAACCATGGTATTTTCCCTTTACTGTATCATATTGGAAGAATCTATGTGGCTTTGTGGAGAAAAAGTGCTATATAAATTCTAATCTATTCTTCTCCAATGAGAACTTTGGCAGCAAAGGTTTGTAAGACGCAACACTATTGGATACATGTTTTTCTTTCTGATCAGTTTTGCTTTTTGCTTTGTTTGTTTTTGGTCCAGCCTTCATAATTGTGTAAGTACATTCCCTCCTGGCTCACTGCCATCTGTCTTGGGCTTAGAAACAGAATGATGGGGCCAAGTGAGAAGTCAGTGTCCCCTGATAAATTTTACCCTGCATCAACCCAGGGAATGCTGGAACCCAGAATATTGATGCTGCTTATTATTACAGTGCTCACATCTATGCATTATGTGCTTTTGTGTATACACAATAATTTAACATAATTCAAGCTTTTAGTTCTAAAGTAAATGAGTATGTGTCAAAATAAAAGCAAAAGTTGACAGCTACCATGTGTAGTGTACTTTACAATTTTTAAGGTATTTTAATATTACTGCTGTTTGCAAAAGAGGAAGCTGCTGCTCAGAAATAAAGAGACAGGACTGGTACTGTTCCACTCCACTCCAGATGCTGTCCAGAGTTGGCACGTGGTCACTCTCCACAAAAAGACTATATATATACATATATATACATATACAAAGGAGCTCTGGTAGCATAGTGCCTAAGGCACTTGACTGCTAACCAGAAGGCTGGCGGTTCAAACCC